AGAGATGAAGCCCATCCCGCCCCAGCAATCCACCCTCCCAACCACACGGAAGTTAGTTATACTGGTGGACAAGCCATCATCATCTAATGTCCTTTTGAGTAAACAGCAAAGATCAGACTAAGGTAGAAAAGATGCAGCCAAGGAAAGACTTAGCTTTGCATCTGGCACTGAAACTTACACCAACAGGTCCAGAAAGCACAACTCTGGAGATTCTGAGAAACCCCACATCTTTTCAGCCATTGGTTAATGAGGGACTGCTCAATCCAGCCCCATCTGTATGGTAGATATTATACACAGCAACACTACAGCAGAAGGTGGTGAAAATGGGTACTGGGCCCAGTGGGACTACCCATTCAGTGAACTTGGGCTTCCAACTCTTATTAGAGCAGTTGAGATTAACGGAAAAGGATGCCTTAAATCAAAGGCCCCAAAGATTGTAATTGCATGAAGTTAACTGGGCCTTGTTGGCCAAGAATGGCTTTCTTGCATGGGAGGTGGATGATTCTTTGCTGCAAAGTTCTCCCATGACAGTAGAGGGACATGTCAAGTTGTAATTAAAGGTCCATGATGGCTGTGCAGGTGGCAGTGGATGTGTTGGATCCCATGGATAGATCTAGGAACATCAGTTACCATGCTTAAAGTACTGTGACTTCAGACACTGGACATCCCCAAATCCAACCAGGCCACAATTGAGGACGTGCCTTTCAGATCTGATAGCTGTCCATTAAGTATACATTGAAGGCTTTAAGGGCTAACCTGTGCCCCCTAGCACTAGCTGTATAATTTACAGTGTTCACCATACTAGCATCCCAGAAAGATGGAATATTATTCCAAAATGCATCACAAGTGCAGTAGAGAGATTTGTCTCTTTTATTTTTTCCCCTTGGTAGAATGCACAAAAGACTTAATAAATGGATCAGATCCAGTGCAGACAACACCACCTTTTGGAAGCAGCTATTCCCATTTTACTTTGACATCTGGCTGGTGAATATTAGAGATCATAGCCCATGACTTCCATCCAATTCCGTTCATCTGCTACCTGTGCTCCTTCTCAGTTCCTTTGCCAGGGGTCTTCCTTGAGAACTTTATCCAAAAGTGGCCTCATTGCTTCATGCTATCATGCTTCCATGTTCAGTTTCCATTAATTTCAAAAGGAAGGGGTCTCTCATATTCTAGACCAAACAAGACTCAACCAATACATATACCATCTCTGGTTCAGAGTGGCACTATTTGCCTCATTTTATCTCTCCAAGCTCAAAACTGCTTTATGGCACTCATTTTGCAGGATGGTTCTTGATAGTTATCCATCTGACACAGAAAATACCTAAGACTGTCGGTCCCAACTGTCATCAGTCATCTCTCTAGTAGGTTTCCTGGTAAATAGGAAAAATTATTTCTTTTGCAACAGTAAAGTCTGTAGGAACTTTGGTCAACTATAGAAGAGCATACTTGTTAGACTCCCTCCATTCAGGAGTATTCAGCATACAGTTGGTTTTGATGACATCAGGGTGTATGTGCCTGGGACATTTAGGCCACATGTCTTGCATTTTTCATGATACTACATGTCAAAATTGACACAAAGCTCTTCCAACTGTGGCTGCGGTCTGAATGTTCCATGTTTGGATATCACATGAAAAGAATGATCATAACTCTGCCTCAGGTCACAGAAAAGCTTGTTTGGTGGCTAGACTTGTCAAAATCAGGAAAGTGGAGCTATTTTTCTTGATGACTCCTATTACTGATGCATCAGGAATAGGCTGGGTCACCCACCTAAACCATCAGCAACTCAAAGGTGCTTGACCTTAGAACAGTATGAGACCTGTGAACATCACAGGGCTGAGGGCCATTCAACTAGTCTTTGTAATGTTCCTGACAATGCTTCTGTGGTGTGTTGTGTCAAGGGTGTCAAACATATGGCTCATGGTGGTGGGCCATCTAACACGGTGTTTCCAAACCTTTTCCAGCCCAAGGCACACTTACATTAATAAAAGTTTTCTGTGGTACACCTGTCAAGGCATTCCCCATCCCTGTACTTATGAGCTCATTGTAGCTCGTTGCCATGACAAATTTCCACAGCACACCCGTTCATTTCTAATGGCACTGCATTGTGCCATGACACACTGGTTAGGAAACACTGATCTAACAGATGGGGCTTCTCATTGTGGCTGACAGAGCTGTTGTATTGTTGTGGACAGCACCCAGTGGGTTAACAGTTGCCCCTGATGTCGGTACCTTTTGACACTCCCCCACCCTCCTCCTTTATCAGGCCTCAAATTTACTATTTTAGATCATGACTGGCAACAAAAATCAGCAGCAGTCAATGATAGGGGTGAGCAGCAGCAGTGGTGTTAAGCCTTTTGGATACCAGAAGAAAATATGATCCACACCATGATTTGGTTTTAACAAACACCAAGATACACTCTACCCGGGCAGAAGCATCTTATTCACATGCTTCAAAAATGATACTTGAGAGATGATTAAATTAACTGTGTTGCATAGCAAATTAATCTTTGTTAATTATGCTTTTGATGTGGCATCCAGGTTGGATGTCAAATTTGGGAGAACAGTGCTGTTTTTGCTGTTACAGTTGGAACTTTAGTCCTGTTCTCTGGAAGGAAAACTGCTTGCCAGATGTCTGTAATGGGATACATACTGACACCTATTTGAAGAGGAAAGTGAGTTACCCTTTGGTAACTGTAGGATCACTGTATGTGGTCCCTTCTTAGCATTGCTCTCAGCTATCCCAGTTTCATAACCATCAGATTCATAGCTATTTCACTTTGGAGATTTTCTTCTAAACATCTTACCATCTCAACTATGAGATTATATAGAACACACGTATATTTTGTGAAAAGGGTTTCTTCAGGCAGCAGTTTAAAATACCTCGTCATGTTAATTCCTCTGATTGCTTTATAATTTTAAATATTGTGTAAACAAGCAAACAACATGCTTCATACAAAGGGAAAATGTGCTATAAGATGCTTCTCTTTCACCAAAACAAATTTAGGCATGTAAATTTCTAAAGCTGGACTTAAAACTGTTCGTTCTGTTCATTAAAAAAAATTAGGCCTTGTGAAATATTACTCTAGAGTAGTGTTACAGTGATGCCCCTGGTGTCTTCACTCCTCTCCCCCATAAACTTAACCAAGTTTGAGTATACTGCTGTTGAGTGACATTGGCAATTTGTAAGATTTGGAACGCTATTTACATTCATATCGATTCCACTTTTAAATGCAGAAGAAAGCAGCTCCACCTACAATTTGGCAGAGAAATGTAGGGCCTGTGCCAGTATTGTCTGGAGATTACATATAAACAGAGGACTTTCAGCTCTGTTGCTTCAGAAAACATCAGTAATGAACCATTCAAAAACAGAGCCCATTGTGATTTTAAGATTCTTTTTCAAAAACAGATCCTCCTTCATAACATTCTTTTGAATACTTCAGGTAGCCTGGTTCCATAGTATGACAGCATCCAATAGTTAATGCTGGAAACCCAGGCATAAATTCAACCCTGACTTTTCTGGACCAAGGATACTGGTAGTGCATTAGCTTTAACAGGCAGTGCTCTTGCTCTTTGAGAGAGGTTATTTAATACACATTTTGTTAAAACCCTTGAATAGTAAGGCAGTAGTGAAGTATTAGCGACAGAATTGGAGCAGATTGTATGATTCTTCAGTTAGGCTGCAATGAAAGTGAGATCTCTTATTTGTGGCTTGTGTGTCTTCATAAGTACACATGAGGGTCCTCAGCCAAAGAACTACCAATCCGGTCTCTGCATTCTTCTCATGTTGTTGTCTCAGATTGCTTTAGAAGTTATATTTTGCGCACACTTGCTAAATGTTAGTGGGATTTTTGGTGTTTTTTTCAGCTGAGGAGTTTTCATGCTTAAGTCTAAGTATCTACACAAATGTTAAGCTCAGGCCTTTGTTAATATCTTTTCTGTGAGCACATCAACGCCAAAAAAGTAGTCTTAACCAATACAACCTTTTAATTGAATTTCTATAATTCAGAGCTTGAAACATTTTAACTGAACTTTATTGGGTTTGTCATTTGAAGTCAATAGGACTTGTGCTACTAAGTCACTTAGGTGTTTCTGAAAACCCCATCCTTTGTTTCTTAAATATACACATTGAGAGATTCTCTGGTTCTTTTTTATGAAACCTTTGACCTATTTGAGAGAGTAACCTATACTTCACAATAAATATATAGTAGATTGTTGGTTAAGGTCAACAATTAAAAGTTTATTTAGACTTTCTTAGTTGTACAAAATCTTTGAGAGATTCTTAAATACAGTTTTAACCCTGGAACCTGCAAACAGTTATGTGCTTAAGTTTAATTGCGCTCATGAAATAGTCCTGTTGCAATCAAGTAAATTAAAATCAGCTGTCAGTCATCTAGATTTGAATAGCTTCGTTTCAGTCTGAATACTGTCTCCTAGGCATAGATTGATGTTAAATGGTTAGTTCCTAGACATGCCTGCTTTTTGTTCTGAATGAGTGGAAAATCCAAAACAGCTTTGTCTTAGTGTATGCATGTGATGGCCGGGGGGGAGTAGAAGTAGAGTTACCGTTCTATTGTTTTTCTTTTTCCACTTTAGACTTTAGGAAAATGCCTGATTTGATTTTTAGAATAAACATGCTATATAGTGCATGCCTTTTGTTTATCTGTAGGGTGTTGCTGGAAATCCTATGGTAAAGTCAGTGCTTGATAAAACCAAACACTCAGTAGAGACCATGATTACAACGCTGGATCCTGGCATGGCTCCTTATATCAGTAAGTACATAAGACAAACTTCAAGAGAGTGGTGAGTGTGAACCATACTGTACTTCAGACCACTTTTGGTTTGCATACTTTCCAGAAGAAGCTTTCCTACTGTATAGTTGTTTTAAAACGAAACGGGCAATTTAACAGAATACCTAGAGTGTGACATACTAAATCTTGTATTTGTTAAGACAGACTATTTTAATTGTGGGGCCTGATTTCAAGTTACACAGTACTGCCTTTTAGTGGTGTGATGGTGATAGTGACAATCATTACATTTAGGATCATTCTATGTCTGTGTTTCCAAGCAGTAACAGCCTCAAATATCGGAAAGTCATAAAAATCCATTCTGTTTGGTAGCCTTTGAATTAGCTGAATTTTGGCAGTCCAGTTTCATGGTAAAGGTGCTAGATTGAGTTTTATGAAAACTTAGCTTTTATTCCCAGCTCTGCCATAAACAGTACTCTTCAGCAAGTCTGTTCTCTGTGGGCTTTGGTTCCCAATGTTTTCCTTTTAGAGGGTATCCATTTCTCCCATTCATTAATACTATAATAAGCTCTTCAGTGTAGGAACTGTTCCTATGGTGTACAGCACCTAGCATGGTTTAGATATTACATTAGTGCTTGAAAGTCCTAGCTTCCTGGCCCAGAGAGCTCACTATCTAAGCAATTAAGAGAGGCTACCAGTGAAGGGGAACATGTCATGGGAGAAATGAAGTGGCTTTCCTAAGTTTATGCAGCAAGTTGGTTGATAGCAGAGCTGAATGTTAAATCCCAGTCTGGTGCCTTACCAACTCCAAACTATGCCATTTCTCCTGATATTATCTCAGCTTCTCTACCACATATGCATGCTGTTAACTTCAGGAAGACTCATCAAAGTGTGTTTCTGAATATTTGCAAGAGCTTTTTTTAAATGTTCTGCTTGTTAACACTCTGGGCACTTTTCCCTTTGTTGTGGTTGCTGGTGGAAACGCTAGTGAAATACAAAAACAAGAGGAAGAGACAGAGGCAAAGCTTGAGACCTTGCTAAAGAATACTGCATTTAAAACATTGTTCTTCATTGAAAGGGAAAATTCCAGTGTAATGTGTCTTTTTTTAGCTCTCAATTGCTTTTCATGTACAGTTCTGGTTAAGTATCTACTTTTGGATTTTTGGGAAAAACATGCTCCACACACCACATCCATTGTATGCTAGCGAGTGAAAACTGGAGATTGTTAACAATGCCACAGAGTATTATTACTTTAAAGGGTTACTGAGGCAAGGGAAGGAAAAGATAAAACTTCTGATAAAATTTCTTTCTCTCCTTCGGCCATGTCATATATTTAACAAACTGACTTGGGAACTCTGAAATAATTCCTAACGTGGGTAAAGTTAAATTTTAAAGCTATCCAGTACTTCCATTGCTGCTTAATTGATGGGAATGGAACTTTAGAAGTGACAGGAATATACTGATCTGAGAGCTGTTTGGATGATCCAAGTTTCTTTCTTGCTAACAGAAAACTTTAAACCAGAAAGCTACAGGAGTCAAAATAGAATTGTGGTGAAGGTGGGAGCCTATAGACCAGGGATGTCAATCGCATCTGGCCCCATAGACAGATGAGTGGAGTGGTGTGGGGTCGTTCTGTGGGCTAGATTGGGTCAATAGATGCCCCCCGCCTCCTCCAGGCATACTTGATCCAGCAGCTGCTCCAGCTCATCTGGGACCTGTGCTGTGTGCAGCTCAGATCCCATTCCAGCTGCTCTGGGTACTGCATGCAGTGCAATGCAGTCTGACTGGAGAGGCAGCTGTGCTGCACATGGTGGCCACCCCAGGTGAACTGAGCCATGTGAGATGCCTATCCTGGCTGCTTTAGGACTGTGCTGCATGCAGCGCCTGCTCCAGCCAATCCAGGACCCACGCTTCATACAGTATCTGTGAGTGCTGTGTGCACCAGCTGGAGTAAGCACTATGTGCAGCATGCATCCCTGAGCAGCTGTGTGTGTGGCATAGTCTGGCCAGGATGGGCATAGCATACAGCGCAGCTGGCACTCCAGCTGGACTGTACAGCACATGGTGCCTGTTCTGGCTTCTCTGGAATTTGTGCCACATGCAGCATGGGTCCTGTACCAGCTGGAGCAGCCATCAGATCCGGTATCCCAGGGGAGGGATTTAAAAGGTGGGAGAGACCATGGGCCTGATCCAGCCCAAGGACCAGTCCTGCCCCATGGTTATATGCTGTGCCCTGTGTGGTTCTGACAGACCCAGGGGCAGCACCATGACCTGAATGGTGAGGCTCCACAAGCCTGATCTGGCCCGTGAGTCCTGTGTTTAACACCGCTGCTATAGATTCTGGCTGCTTGCTAGTATTTGGAGAGGAGGGATGTGGAATATTTAAAAAATGACAGAAGGTTATTTATGTTAAAACTATTATGTTTAAATGACAACATCTCAACAGTTCATTGTGAGTGAAGTAAATGATAAGTCCAATTAAAAATTAAGAAAACACTTTCTGGGGTGAGGGGGAAATATAAAACTGGTAAATGTTGATTACATACAGTTCAGGAAATTCAGAATTAAGCAACCAAAAATAGCATCTTACAATGGAGGTTGTCAGGTAACCTTATATTGTATTGGCAGAGCTGGTAGCTGCAACTAATGTATATCACACATTATGTAATGAAAGCATCTGTTGTAATTTGGACAGTCATGGAGCAGAGGTGAATTTCAGATGCAAGTTCGTCACATTAATTCCGATGCATGTAGTTAAAGCCACTATTTATTTGTGTTGCCTGGGAACTATATTTAATAACTTTGGCACACACAACAGTTATTTCCATGCTGTAGGACTATATGATGTCTAAGATGACTGAACACATGCTATCCATTTGCTAGATAATGTTTACAATAGGGGAACAATGACCATGCCTTGCAGTTATGATTTGTTGCTGTGTACTGCACTTAATTTAATGGAAAAACTTCCACTAAGATCAATGGGCATAGCAATGTGCCTCTAAACTCTTTCCTACGCAGCTAGTTATATTTCTGAGGTGGTCCTTGAAACTGTTCACCTGTGGTATGATAAGATACAGTATATAGTCTGTAGCATTTCTTATATTAAAGACGCTCCCTCTACACAGTAGTTTAATGGGTGCATAATGAGTTGTCTTCAGTACTTCAGCCATTTCCTCTTTGCAGATTTTCTTCCATTTAAGGCTGTGTACTAGGATTTAATCCAGCATAAAATCTCACTGAATCTTAAAATGTTTAGGTGTTTATAGTAAGTGTCTCTTCCTGTGATTGATGTTTTTCTTATTCAAATTAAGATATTCTCAGCAGCTGGGGTATTTTTCTGTTCTGCCGTTACTCAAGTTTTAATGCAGTGTCTAATGTTCAGTGATGGGCGCGCAAAAAAAAAAAAAAAAGTTTTTCAAACCTAGCTCATTGGTAGAACGTTCTGTAGTCACTGTTGTAGCAAGTCTTCAGTGATTTGCCCCCCCCCCCCTTTTTAAAATAATAATAAAGAAGTATTCCTTCAGTTAAAGGTTTGCAAATAATTTGGGCTGTGGTAAATGTTGTTGCTGTTGTTTTTTTTTAAATGTTAAATTTCAAGCTTCTTCTGGAAAATCTCTTGTTTGTGGTGATTAAAATAAATACTGTAGACTTCAGCATCAGGTTTTTTAGGTGTAATGCTTGCGTAAGCAGCACTTGTTTTTCAAATCCATTATCTACTTTGCCTTTCTCCCGCTCATTAGACCTGGGTATCAAACTCGTCTGGCCCATGATGAGTGGCGTGGGACTGGCCCCATGCCACTCATCCAGCCTGTGGAAGCAGCCCCACAGCATGTGATTCAACTCTGGACTCGGGGACCAGAGTAGCACCAGGGAGCAGATGATGGGGCTCTAGGCTGTATCTTTGACCCTCGTGCATTAAGACTATATAAAGTGCTGCTTAATTTTCTATGTACTCCTGCAGTCAAAGAGCCCTCAAAGGAACTAGATTCATAGATTGGCAGTTTATGTGCAAAGTATGCTGTTTGTGTGCAAAGTCTTCATATTCTTGATACTTTACATGGAAAGTTGACCTCTAACTGAATTGCTTCAAATTTAGGAATGTTTACTGGAAAAGAACAACACAGCATACTGTTTCAACTGATCTTGCATAGTGAAGCATATTGCAGCAAGAACTTTTGGACTGTGCTGTCATAGACTTTGTATAAGATTTTATGGAGAAAATGAGGATACTTTAACATTTTAAAAACAGGGGTGCTCAACCTCTGGCCTGCAGGCCAAATGCATTACTGCCAAATTTCCAAACCCTGCACAGCAGGCTTAGCTTGGGGCCAGGACATGACTCCTGCACCAGATCTGATCCCCCTGGCTCCAGCCTGCACAGGGTCTGAACATCATCTGTTTGGCCTGAGGGTGGGAAAAGGTTGGGCACTGCTGTGTTAAGTCATAAGCAGTTAAATAAAAGCTGCATGGTGAGGGTAGTTTTCTTTCTGGAATAGTGTTCTAACCTTACAGTGAAAGTACAAACTGCTGTGCTGCTGTGCTTATAGTAGAAGCTTTTTTTTCAAAAAGAAACTTTTTCCTGTTAGATTTTAAAGTTTTAGCTGGATATTAGAAATAAATTAATGTAAGAAAAAGAAAGCCAAAGGTAGAAAGATGTAGAATGCTGAGAGATGCAAGAAAAAAGATTCAAATAATGTTGAAGCTAATGGTTCAAGGATGCTTAGAAGTTAGCCAGAGCCTCAAAAGAAATGTTTTTACTGTATTTACTCAGATATGACAACCCTGATTATTATTATTATTATAAAATGACCCCACTACTTAGATTTTATGTATGGACAATTTTATAAATGTGTTATAATTTTCCATATAGAAACTAATTATTTTAGGTTTGTCTTTAATTTGTGCCCATCCCATTGCAACAGCAGGGAAAATAAATCTTGGGGGTGGAGCCAGGTAGTCCCCTTGCCCTCTACCTCCCCCACAACTACTTCTTCCTCCTTCAGCTTCTTGTTCCCTTCCTTACTGTCAGATCCACCACTTCCTGAGCATGTGGAAGTGAAGAGCAAATATAAAAACACAGACCTTGAAATTAAACATAGCTATAGCAATTTGTATTTTATACCCAAACATTTCGTTCATCCAATTGATGTACGTTACATTTTTTGAAACTACTACAAGTTTTAGCTCAGGTATTCCATAAACATACTTTTAAGCAGCACTTTGGCACCAGCTTTATATAGAGTACAAGTTAGACTTGATATAACTCCAAATCTAAAAGTCTCATGATTTACCATATAGATCACTGGGCTGGGACCCAGCAGTGTCAATAGCATTTCAAGCCATGGTCACCCTACAGCTCAACACTGCTATGGGGGAATGTGTGTGTGTACTCCAGATAACCCCCCTGCCTTTCCCTTACAAAGGATACATGTATTAATTAGCCCCCACTCATGACTGGAACCAGGTGTTCTTGTCACTAGTCCTGGGATGCTCCAAAATTTATATGTAGATAAGTTGCAAAGAAATCTGGTCTGGCTTCACTTCATGGAGGGTGGGGCTACATTAAATGTACGTAACAGGATGGGGTGGGGGGCAATGGAGAGATTCTGGGTGAACTGTTCGGGGCCCTATTTTGTGAAGTTTGCCAGGCATTCAAGGCTGAAGAACTAGGAAACTTTGGAAACGGGAAAGAAAGGCATAGCTCAACTGTGGGAGTTAAGCAGGAATCAAAAAGTTTGCAGAGGGGGACTCTAAAAAGAGTCAGCACTGAGGGGGACTGTGCTTAATAGGTACTACTGTTTCTTCATCAGGTGGGCTGTGCTATGTTTGTCCAGCATGGCAGGGAAACACTATGTATCTGGGTCCATGAGGGCAGTTTTCCTTAAGCTCCTGGGGGATAACTGTTCTTTTGGTGTGGTTTAGTACCTGTTGAGGTGTTGAGGCTTAAACCGCACTTTATGAAAATGTGTTGTTTCTGCGGCCATATGGCTGAAGGCAGGCAAAACTTGTGGGCATCCACACCCCAAGTCTCCAGGCTTGGGCCTGCACGTAGGATGCTTGCCAAAAGACTGGAAATATCTGAAGCCCCTGGTGGGGGTGGAGGATGTTTGCTGGTTGTAGGGCCACTTATGGTTCTGGACTGACTCATGAATTCGGACCTGATTTGTCTTGGAACATGAAAATGTCTTTAAAAAAAAAAAGTATGGGCCATATTTTTATAGTAATGTACACTGTTGGCTACATTTAATCAAATTCCTAGTTGGTTTCCATTACTCAGCACATGCTGTTTTTGGCAGCAGTTTAATCATAGCCAATGTATTTAATGAGGTTTTCTCAACAAAATCATTTTGTCTTTGTAGAATCTGGAGGAGAGCTGGACATAGTGGTTACCTCCAACAAAGAAGTAAAAGTGGCTGCCATTCGAGATGCTTTCCAGGAAGTCTTTGGAATGGCTGTAGTTACTGGGGAAGCTGGTCAGTCAAATATTGCACCACAACCTGTTGGCTATGCAGCTGGATTAAAAGTAAGTGGGTGAATAATGATGGAGAAATCCCAGTTGGGAGATCTTGAACGCCAGCAGTTTTTGAGTGACAAATGTACGTAGAAAATCCTAACTGGGGCATTGAGGAAAGCTTTCTTGGTTATTGTTGTCTATTATTATGGTCATGTCAGATCTGTTATTAGAAGAACATCTGTGTCTTCTTGGGAAGGTGTATATTAGAAGCAACTGAGGAGCATAAATATTATTTTTTGGCAGTTTCCTAGTGCAACCATACCTGGTTATTTATCATTTTATAATACTTTCAGAGCATGTCAGTTCTTGGCCCCCAACCTACTTGAGTAGTAACAGTCTAAATAAATTGCACATTTTAAAGGATTCATTCTCCCTTACCATTTTTATGTTGATACAAAATATATTAACATGATTATCACAACCAAAATATAAACCTAGAGAATGAGAGTATGAGCCATGGAAATATTTATGCACTTACTAACTATAGTGAAATTCAGCACTGCTTAAAAGTAAGGGAACCTTAAAACTTTTACATTTTCTTGGGAAATGAGTAACTTTTTTCCTAATGTTTAAAGACAAATCTAAAATAAGTGTTTTGTCATAGTTTCTGTAAACTTTTGGAATTTCAGAGCTTTATTTCCAAATATTAAGCATTGTTAAAATTCCTGTAGTGTTGTATAATGTCTGTGGTTTATCTTGGAGGTTAAAGGTTACGTTCTTCCGTCTTTTTTTAATGCTGTGTTGTGGCTTTTTCAGAACATTCTCTAAGAGCTTGTTATGTTGTCGTTTAGGGAGCACAGGAAAGGATAGACAGCTTGCGTCGGACTGGAGTGATACATGAGAAACAGCCTGCTGTGTCTGTAGAAAATTTCATCGCAGAATTGCTTCCTGACAAGTGAGAAGCTTTAATTTATTCAGGTTGGGAGCAAAAAAGAGCATTCTGTATTGGGTTCAGGTACTCCATAAAGAATTATTAGCAGTATCCTTCTCCAGAGAGAAAAGGAGGGAAGTTGTCGGTATATGATATTGCCTTGGCAGACTTTGCTTTGGACAAGAGACTGCACAATTTCAAAAAGCTGTATAAGTTCACTAATAGCTAAAATCTGTCAGATGTACTGGGATTCAAAGTTTAAAAGCATGACACAAGGGCAGCTAACTGTCAAAAGTGAGGGAGTTTTATGTGTTCCAGTTTGATAGCTAGTTCTGTTTCTGAAATGACATCTCATTTGGAGAGTGTATTAGCTGACTTACTGGCATTGTAGTGGTACACTGAGTGTTTCTATTCATTACTAATTGACAGTATTCTCAAGTTAGGTTCATTTTCTGTTACTTTTTAAAATACTTGCAACTCTAGAAAGTTATAAAAATGCTTCTATTTTAGAGATTCCATTTAGAGTTCAAGTTTTAATAAGTCATCAAAGGAAAGGTGGAGCTAACAGATTACTGTTGATTAATTTTGTAATGCAATGTCAGAAGCATTAGGGTCTACTTCTTAGGCCTTAATGTGTTTACTTTAGAAAATAGGCATCTCTTAAACAAACAAAAAATACACGCAGAAAATTTGCATCCTTTCTTATTTATTTAACCTAATGTTAACTAAATGGAGCAAAATATATTTCATACATTCAGTGAACATAAAAGGAAGCAGAATAAGCAGGTATGTTTGTTTTATCTAATTTTTGGTTTAGATGGTTTTATTGCTACAGAGAAGGTTTTAAGAAAAAATTGTTTATGCAGGAGACGTTTGCCCCAAGTGTGGCAGAAAAAAAGAAGGCTTTTGTTTTCTATTTACCTGTTCCTAAATCTTTGTAAGTGCAGTCTGTATAATGCTCAAAATGACCCAGGACTGCAGTGTTGTTAAGAACGGGAGCTGGTTTTGCATACTTACAGGTACAAGGAATGTCATTGTAACTGAAGCAAAGCCTGATCAAGTGAATGAGCCCTGGTACTTCACAAGAGCAAAATTATTCTTTATGTATAAGGTTTTTGTTTTTTTTTACTGAAAGGGGAATATTAAAAGTCTCTTTATATAGTAGACTAAAGATATTCTAGTTCCTTTTGGCCTCTTCTTGCCTCTAACACTGTGAAAATAATAGAACTTGGTGCTGGTAGTCATAATATAATATTAAAATGTGTATCCTTGGATATATAGCTCATCAAGATATCATTTTTCAGCGTGTCACAGTCCAGGGTGTTAACCAGAGTTGTCTTGCAAATCCATTAATCCCCCAGAAGAGGAGCCTTCAAGTAAACTCTCACCAATCTCTGGTACCTCACTTGTTTAGAGAGCCGCTCATTAAAACTTTATTTTGGTCAGTACAAACTTCTCCCCTCTCATATTGCAGTAATTGGAAAGGAAGGGAAATTGCTACCCCTTTTAACTTCTCCTAGCATTATTTGTGGCATTGAACGTTTACCCAGTTTATTGGGTCTATATAAATATACTTTTCAATTCCCTTATTTGGCTGTTTGCAGTTCAAGGTAACTTGCTCAGCATTCTTACATGTTTATATGGAAGAGTGGTCCCCTGTTACATCCCCTTTAAACTCCTTCCCTCCCCTACACCTTTTTAGACCAGGAGCCCAAAGCAGTGTTATCAAGGAGGTAGTAGGTGCTAGTCCTGTCCTGGCTGGCTTTATTAACCTCACCCTTGCATGAAGCAAAAGTGGCCCAGCCAGTTGGTTCCTACGGTCTGAATGTTCCAGACTACAACCCGGACTTTACGTAATCTTCATAGCAGCAACATCCATTCTTCTGAAGTAAAGATCAGAAAAAACACCACAATAATCTTTTCCCCTTCTAAACTTGATTTAATAGCTCCTGTGCCCTATTCTCTCAGCTGGAACCATTTAACTGTAGACACAGTTGTGAGAATTAAATAAACATGAGTTAGGGACAATATGTCAGTCTTAATTTGATCCAGATCATGCCACCATAGATTCTGCTACAAACCAGACAAGGAAAATGTTCTACATGCTGGCCCTATGTACTTTAATGGATTATGCTCCATATTTTTTGTAAGCTGTCTAATTGTTCTTTTCAACTAACACATTAAATAATTGGTTTTAATAGAGTTACTTTTTTGTGAATTCATGTGAGTATACAATATATCTCCACAAATGGGATTACTTCTGTGAGTCTGAGTGAGATGCAGGTTTTTATTTAGTGAGTAACCAGATTTAACAATTATATCAAGTCATTATTGATGTAAGCTGTTACAATGTAGCTATTAGAACCATTGTCCTGTTAGGATACAAATGTAGTAAACATTGAAACTGTAACCCTGTTTCATTCCAGGTTAAACTTACAGGTATTTAGCTAACTTGTATCACTGTAGGAGCCTACCAGTATAACAGCTGGTGTGTGCTCCCAACCTGCAACTTCTCCTCCCTTTTCACAGTGGTTAAATGTTAATTTTGTTCATGGGCTTAATGAAGGCTGACTTAAGAACAAAACCTCGGGTTTATGAAGACTCTGTGAAAATTACAGTATAACTAATATGTCCAAATATATATCCTACTGGTGTTCCTTTTGATTTATTTTTTCAGTGAATGGTGAATTACCTATGTTTATATAATAGAGCAGTGCCTTTTTACAGGCTCTAGTTGTAAAATATCAAAATGTACCCATTAGCTTCTTTATTGCAAATAATAAATTCATACATGTACTCTGCAACATCCTGTAAATTGAAGCACCATCCTTGACACTGCATTCTTCAGTTTACTGCTTAAAGGGTAGGTAATTTGTATGCCATTACAGGTGGTTTGACATTGGCTGTCTGATTATTGAAGATCCAGTCCATGGGATTCATCTAGAAACTTTCACCCAAGCAACACCAGTGCCTTTACAATATGTTCAACAGGTAAGTTTTCTGCATTTCTTAGTGATTTAATAGCTTGAGTTTTGGGAGCCAGGACTTCCTTTGATATAATATCATGAATGATACAACTCCATACTATAGGCAAATTATCTCTTCACTTCAATTTTTATTTATAAGATCTAGATGAAAACTGCTGTGATGGTCGATATATGTAAATACCCTTAGAGATAATTATCACTCATAGTGTTTTTTATTTATTTAAAATTCAATATATCCAGAAAAATTGTAGTTACTTGTATAGTTTTCTAGCTGATTTGGACTGAAGAGCTATTGGCAAAAGGCATACTGTAAAAACTCTGCATTGAGCCCAGGAAAAGTTATTTAAATGTTTGAAATCTTTTCAGTAAAAGAAACAGAATGTTTGAAAAAATGAATTATTAAAATAAGCTATACAACGTAATGCTGATTCAGTATCTTTCGCTTTCTTCCTGGTGATTGCGAGAGAGTGATAGCAGCTTTTGAATTGTAACAGACTTGCTTTTGTATTGAGCATAATGGAATAGCATCACAAGCTATTGCTCCTCTTGTGCGGTTTGTAAATAGGCAAAACCCTGAGCCAGCATAGAGGCCCGTGGCTTTTACCAGAAATGCAACCATAGGGGTCTGCCTTTACACTGTACATCACGGAGTGGGAGCTAATGTATCTAGCACATATTTAATCTTCCTTTTAAGGTTTTCTTTCTTTATTGATAACCTTCAAAGCTTTGAGTCATGCATTCATGGCACTGTAACTCTGGCATCATTCTACAGTTAGCCAGTGGGATTAACCATGCTTGTCCCGCAAAGCTGCTAACCTGGAAAGAAACTCCCAATAAAGAAGAACCTCTGAGGAAATCCGTACCAAATCTAAAGTAACTTTAAAAAACCCAATAAAATGGATCCTTTTCCATAACTTGAGGTATAGTTTGGATCTAGGAAATTTGGGATCTGGCAGTCCTGGGTTCAGTTCCCAGCCTTACTACAGTTGTCCTAATATTAATGCATATTATTAATATACAACAACTAGCAACAGGCTGCGTCAGTTACAGTAAAAACCACCATTATGCAGTAGGTGAAAATCACAAGAAAAAGAAAACTCTGTTTCTAGTGACAGCGAGACCACTTCTATCTAAATAATCTGAAGGGTGAGGCAGTTTTTCCTTTTGGGCTCTGGTATTTCAAGAAAGGGAGGGAATGTCAATGATGCATCTCCAGTGGGAAAGTCCTTTGAGAGTTTAAGATGAAATGTCTCGTCTCGTTTCATCAACTGTGGTCCAACATTTACCTAGCTTTTGTAAGATGTAAAGGATAAGAATTTGTTTAGTCTTCACTGGAACCTTTTTCTCTGCTTTCCCACCAATTCTGCAGTCCCCTGCAGTGGTTGCAATCTATACATTACAGCTGGACCTGGCATAACTTTTTTTTCTTTAGAAAATTTCCCATGAAAATATTCTAAACAAAATAGTTGGTTTAGAGTTTAACTTTCAGTTTCTTTTAAATCCCAAATTCCTGTGTACTTGTTTTTGAATTCCAGTAGAATGTCTGTGGGTGTGGAGTTTTTGTTGCTGTTTTTGTTATTTTACATTTTTAACTTTTTTCAGAAGTTCTGCAACCTTGTAAAAATTATAGAAATGCTAAAGGAAAAAATGCAACATTGTTACTCGGTTTTCCTCAGAAAGAATAAGGAAACATGAAGCTGGAGGAAAAATTTACTACTAGCTTCAGTGGGTGAAGTTCTCATTGTGTTTTGCTCCCTGGCCATGTTAGCTAGGATACCTACCTGTTCTTTATTACAGCTTTACAGTCTCTTTGAAACAACATTTATTATTCTAATATGCAGTAAAATAACTATTTCTTCCACTTTATAAAAATATATTGAATCTTACCATAACTGCTACTATTTAAATAGTAGTAAACTTATAGTTCATAGTTGGTAGGGTCGGAAGGGACCTGAGCAGATCATCAAGTCCAATCCCCTGCCATGGGCAGGAAAGAATGCTGGGGTCAAACAACCCTGGCAAGGTGTCTATCTAGCCTCCTTTTAAACACCTCCAGGGTAGGGGTGAGCACCACTTCCCTTGGAAGTTGATTCTAGATCCTAGCTGACCTGACTGTGAAGTAGTGCCTTCGGATGTCTAGTCTGAATCTACTCTCTGTTAACTTATGGTTGTTATTCCTTGTTACTCACAGTAGTGCTCAGGTGAATAGGGACTCTCCCATTGCCTGCTGGTCT